TTGTTTACCCAAAAGTCATTCAGAAGAAGGTTGCTTTAATTTCCATGTAATTATATGCTTTCAAGAGATCATCTTGGTATTAACTTCTGTGTTTATTGTGCAGTGGTCTGAGAGGGTGGTTGATATGATTTGGTTTTTAATTTTTTTCAATTTGTTGATAATTGCTTTATGTCCAAGCATATGATCAATTTTAGTGTATGTGCTATGTACAGATGAGAAGAAAATGTATTTTGTTGTTATATGGAATGTTCTGTAGAGGTCTGTTTGTTCCATTTGATAAAGTGTAAAGTTTAGGTCCCAAATATCTGTTAATTTTCTGCCTTTTTGCTCTAATATTGTCAGTGGGTTATTGATATCTCCCACTATTATTATGTGGTTATGTAAGTATCCTTGCAGTTTTCTAAGAACTTGTTTCATGATTCTGGATTCTCCAGTATTGAGCACATCAATACTTAGGATAGTTAAGTCATCTTATTAAAATGAACCCTGCATCATTATGTAATGTCCTTCTTTCCCCTTTTTGATTACTGCTGATTAAAAGCTTGCTTTGTCTGAAATAAGGAAAGCAGCTCTTGATTTGTTTGTTTTTGTTTTCTGTTTCTTGACAGATTTTTCTCCATCCCTTTACTTTGAGCCTATGAGTGTCATTGCATGTGATGTGGTCTCTCGAAGACAGCATATAGTTGGGTTTTGCTTCTTATCTTAAAAGACAGTCTGTGCCTTTTAAGTGGAGTGTTTAGCCTATTTACATTCAAGGTTAATATTGATATGTGAAGATTTTATTCTGCCATTACATTAGCTAGTTGTTGTCTAGATTTGATTTTGGATTTGCTTTAGAGTGACAATAGTCTGTGTACTTATGTGTGTTTTTGTGGTGGTCAGTAACAGATTTTCATTTCCATGTTTAGCACTCCCATAAGGACCTCTTGCAAGGCAGGTCTAGTAGTAACTAATTTCCTTACTCACTTTCAGGGATGTGAGCAAGTCATAGGTTTAGTCTCATCACATAATTTCATATTTCTTGGAGATTTTTTGTTCAGTCTTTTTTATTATTTTTTCTGTCATACTTGATTTGATAAATCTTCAGGCTCTGAGATTTCTTCCTTAGCTTGGTCTGTTCTGCTGTTAATACCTTCAATAGTATTATTAAATTCTTGTAGTGTTTTTCAGATCTATTAGATCAGTTCTTTTTTTCTTAAAGTGGCTATTTCATCTAGCTTTTGTATCATTTTACTGGATTCCTTAGATTTCTTGGATTGGGTTCCAACTTTCTCATGAATCTCAGTGATCTTCATTGCCACTCAGACCCTGAATTCCATCTCTGTCATTTTAGCCATTTCAGCCTGATTAAAAACCAGTGCTGGATAACTACTGCAGTCATTTGGATCTAATAAGACACTGTGGCTTTTTAAGTTCCCAGAGTTTTTGTGCTGGTTTTTCTGTCATCTGTGTGGGCTGAAGCTCCTTAAATCTTTGAAGCTGCTGTCTTTTGGATGATGCTTACTGCTTTTATATTCTTTAATGTCCTTGAAGGTTTGACTGTGTTATAAATTGGTTCAGTAAACTGGCTACATTTCTGGATGATTTCAGGTGGCCCAGGCTCAGCTCAGTACATCTGGGGCCTGGGCCCAGGCCCATGGCTTTGTTCTCTGACCCCTCAAAGGTAAGCACCTGCTGTACTGCCAGGGCTGAGATGTTCCCAGTCAGCTGCCAATAACACTATGATGGAGAGTGCTGGTAAAAGCACTTCAGTGAGGTGGTAACAATGGGGTACACACTTGGGCATACATGCCATCAACTACAGGGTAGCAGTGTGGCAGGGTCCATGTGCGTGTGTGTGTGTGTGTGTGTGTGTGTGTCAGCAGCAGAGCAGCAACAGGGTGGTGGGCCCTGGTACAGTGGTTGGGGGAGGCTGCAGCCAGGTGCATGCTGGAGAGGGTCCGCCTGCAGAAGCTCTCTAATGATTAGTTGGTGCCTACCATTGAAGGAGCTAAGGGTAGCTGCTGGAAAGCACCCCTATTGGGCATCCGAAGCTGCACTGCAAGTGGGCAAGGCCAGGCAGTTACCCTGGTACAGGTTGGAAGACAGGGAGTGCTCAGATCAGACTGAGCCTGTACCATGGCCAAGAAAGCTCTGCTCTATTCAGATCCTGCAGTTAACAAAGGTCAAAGCTACCTAGAAGAAGTGGTGAGCCTTGGGAGATAGGCATCTCTGGCTGTGCTCTACTGCAGCTATTGCTATGCCAAATGCCCTGGATTCTGCACAGATTGGAGTCCTGTCCCTGATAACTCTCTGATAAGCTCTCTCTGCCAAGTCAAATGTCTGTGTGGGGAGTGGGTTCCCCTGAAGCTAGGATTCTGGGGTCCATGGCAAAAATGGGCCATTCCATACCTATTTAACTCACCCCTTTCTCAGGAGCCCCTCAGGGCCAGGAATGAGTCTTGGTGCTCAGTAGCCCAGTGCAGAGTTCCCAGCTTCCTCCTCTTTTATCCCAGGCTTTGTGTCTCCTTCTGTCCACGTTCGGTGTCATCCTGCTGAAGATCTGCTTGGAGAGTGCAGGTCTTCTCAATGGTCTGGTCTCTTGGTGGCAGCTCTTCCTGTGAGTTGTCTTGCTTAACCTGTTTTCTTAATGAAACAATGTTTGCTTCCTAAAGTTTTCAGCCTTATATATAAAATAAATTAATTCAGACTCCAATATTCCTTCACAGTTGCATACCCAGTAAATTTTATTTTATATAAATTATTTTGAAAACAATATAATAGCACTAAGATTTAAAATGACTTTTAATAAATTGAAAGAAAAAAATGGAGATTTTAAGGTCTTTTACCCCAAACCTCTAATTTTAAATTAGACTCTGAAAGTTTCCACAAATAAAAGTAATTGCTTATGTTAATTTGCAGCTAATTTTGCTACATAACATAGACACTTCTGCCTATACATGTCTTTAAAAGAATCCACTTTTATATGAATTATGTATCATTGATGTCAAGTTATTTTTATATTCAGAGAGTGAACCATTTATTTCTAATGGTATTTTCTGTTATTAGTGTGCCAAACACTTTTGCTACTGGAAAGCAATAAAATTAATCATTTTTGGCTTTGGCTGCTATTATGCACATAAACAGTGATCCTGGTGAACTTGAGTGAGAATGCTCACTGTGCTCATACTAAGCCAATTAGTGCCCAGTTATTTATTTTCACTGTAGTGGCGAGTGTGGGAGTGGTGGGGGTGGAGAAGTGGGTGGGTGATGCAGAGAGAAAGATAAGCACCACTAGCAGAGAAAAGGATACATAAAATTGGCAGAATAGTTTTCAGAACAAAAATTGTGGTAGTAAAAGAGCCAATGTCATAGGCGTTAGATAGCATTTATGACTATGTGTACTTGTGTGTGTGAAAACTTACAGGATGTACAAGTGTGTATAATTTGTCTTCAAGTTTAAGCTACAAACAGATGTAGTACTTTCATTTTAAAGTTAGGAAAATATAGTTTAACATTTTGCAATTTTTTCTATGAGCTTCTACATGCAATCCCATGCAATTGGAATTTGATAGTCCTTTCACATAGGAAAATGAGAGATAGCTAAGCATCCATTATTTAAGTCATTTTTCTGCAAGCACGGACTTAGTGTATTATCAGAGTGACAAAGGAACTAGCTATTATTCAGGAAATGTGTGACCAAGAAAATTACCTATTATTATTATTATTATTTGAGGTTGCTCTGTTGCCAGGCTGGAGTGCAATGGTGCAATCTCAGCTCACTGCAGCCTCTGCCTCCTGGGCTCAAGCAATTCTGCCTCAGCCTCCTGAGTAGCTGGGATTGTAGGTGTACACCACCATGCCCAGCTAATTTTTATATTTTTAGTAGAGATGAGGTTTCATCATGTTGGCCAGGATGGTCTCGATCCCTTGACCTCATGATCTGCCCACCTTGGCCTCCCAAAGTGCTGGGACTACAGGTGTGAGCCACCATGCCCGGGAACCTATTACATTTTTTAACAACAAAAGCAACTATGGCTGTCAGGAGATAGATGATAGATGACTAATTGATTGATAAATAGAGAGATAGATAGATAGATAGATAGATAGATAGATAGATAGATAGATAGATGCTATGCAGCTGAACTGGATTCTCTTCCTCTGTCCAGATAGTTTTACATATCTTCAACACTTAGTCATTTTTAATTAGTTCTATGTCCAGAACTATGGATATGTCCATAGTCCTTAAATATATGTCCTTAACTATCAAATATATACAAAAGAGCCAAACTGCAAGCATAAAAAAAAAAAAAAAAGCAAGGACAAGCAACATTTATCCAGTTTGTTGGTCAACTTATAAACAAATATAGCAAATTATAAATTGGTATCTTTAGTGATTATTAGAATTGTGTCACATATTAGATAATATATTATTTAGAAGTTCTGGAAAGAATCCAGTGAGTACTGTAGCTGGGGGTACAGAGAGTAGCCCCCATTTGAGATCTTGCTTCATTATCTTCACCTGGTACCTCTGTGAACCAAGGATGGGAGAGTGCTCCACCAGGAACTACTCAGTGGGTATTTTTTTCCATATATGTTAAAGCTAAAGTGCCCCTCCTATTGTGTTCAGTCCTCTAAAGTTTCTTTTACTTTCTTAGAATATTGCTGTAGAATTTTAGATCTAACCTTAAGGATTATTTTACAGATAACGAATATTGCATTCAGCATTATTAATTGCATGACCACAGCATTATTAATTGAATGATCAATTAGTGGTAAAACTGGTAATCAGACAATTGGCAAGACATCTCCAGTTTCCTTTGACTACACTCTACTGCCTTTTAAATTTCCATTTATTCTCTTTTTATTCTCAGAATTTGGCTAAGAAGCATTGGAATGTTGTCTCAGTGGCACTTCTTTAAGGATTTCTGTTTTCCAAACACACAGAAAAATCATATTGTTGACCATTTATTTTCCTTTTGTTTAATGTTTAAGACGTGTCTCTATTTTTCTCTAAATAGCCTCAAAACCAGTGGACTTGAAATTATGCACTGGCCCTGTCCCTAATACTACACAGCTGTGCAACATTCCTTGTCCAACTGAATGTGAAGTTTCACCTTGGTCAGCTTGGGGACCTTGTACTTACGAAAACTGTAATGATCAGCAAGGAAAAAAAGGTAGGTAACATTACATGCCTTTTATACCCACCAATTGTATCAAATCATGAATTATTTTTAAAATGCTCTTCTATGTTCTGTGTTTGTGGTATTTTCCAGAATGGCTAAAGACTATTAATTTGAAAAGGCGAGTAAACCTAATCCAGTGATGGTACCGGAAGATTAAAACAGTAGAATATAGGCATAAGTGTTTGTTAATTTAGACAACATGGTGGAGAATATCTTAGGCAGTTTAGTGCAATGGTTAAGAAGAGCTGTGGGGTCAGGTCTGGATTGGAAAATGTACTGTGTCTCTTACTGTTTAGATAAGTTAACTATCTAGATCTTTGTGTCCTTATCTGTAAAAGGGAGGTAATAATATCTGCCATCTACTTTGTCTCTAAGGAATGAATGAGATAAACATATAGTGCTTATGTTTCAGTGCCTGCCCCATATCTAGAGCCGAATAGATAAAGCTGCTTATTACTTTGAAGACAAAAATGTATAAATTGTATTACTTTCAAAATGCAATGATAGAGAAATAGAATAAATACAATGGTTTTCTTGTGGTGGACATGGTGAGCTAATTTTCACATGACTTCATGATTGAAAACATTTTTCTATTTTGTTTGAAAGGGCAGTCTTCTAGTGATTCTAGTATGTGTACATAGTAATAAAGAGACTTATTAATTTTGTTACACACTGTCAGGAAGGACAAGACTTAAGTGCTATTAAAGCACAAAGCAGGACTTTGAATATTCCACACTAGAGCCCTCATGGCTTATGTTCCTAATTCAGTTTTCCAGAGGGTCTAAAATCAAAGGAAGCTCAAAGAAATTGTTTCTCTGGAACCATCCAACTTCTTAGACGCTCATTTTCCAAATTTAATCATGTGACATTGTTGAAGATTTAAGAATAATAGCACTTTCATCTGGTCATCAATATTTCTGAATAGCTTGAAATTTCATTCCTTTTTTGAATATTCTTTGGCTATAGACTTTCCAACTTAACCAAAATTTATCTCTTTGTGTTCCCACCCCGGTCCTCTATGCCCTATGAGGGCCATAGATGGGTACTGTATCACATTTCTAGCCTTACCTTTGTGGTAGTAAGCTCAAGTTGCCATTTTTTTCCATTCCGTTCATTAACCCACTCACTCATTTAATGAATTGTTCCTGACCTCACAGTAGCTAGAATTTCGGGATACACCAGTGATTCAAAACAAAAATGACTTCTGCCTCCACTCCTTTCTAACTTTCACCCTGAGGTTTTAATTCAACTTTCTGAAATACTCAACCTTTGATGGTAACAATAGGTTTTTCTTTCCCCCGTAATTCAGGCTTCAAACTGAGGAAGCGGCGCATTACCAATGAGCCCACTGGAGGCTCTGGGGGAACTGGAAACTGCCCTCACTTGCTGGAAGCCATTCCCTGTGAAGAGCCTGCCTGTTATGACTGGAAAGCAGTGAGACTCGGAGACTGTGAGCCAGATAACGGGAAGGAGTGTGGTCCGGGCACGCAAGTTCAAGAGGTTGTGTGCATCAACAGTGATGGTGAGTCAAACGCATCTATTGTGTTTTTATGGATGTCCAACCCTGCATACATGTTTTTACTTACTGTTAAAATCCTGTCTTCTCTCATTACAACTGGTTCCATTTACAAATGTAGAAATAGCTGCTTCTCTCTCCTTTCCTCCTTCCCTCTCTTTCCCTGTTTCTCTTTCTCTCTCTGTCTCTTACGTTCTTAATGAAATCGTGGCAGTGGAGAGGATCCATGAATAGTAACAGGATATTGTTAAATGTGAAAACAGAACAGATCATACAGTAGAAGAATTAAATTATCATTAGGGCAGTAATTTATTAAGTTTCCAAATTTAACAATAACAAGGAAAGGTAACTTTTTAAAGTGCCTTTAAAAAAACTGTTATGGGAAATGAAATGTAAACAAAGAAGGGTTGTAGCTGTTGGTTGACTTGACTCTAAAAGTCTTTTCTTCTAACCTCCTTGACACTGTGTCTTAGCGTTATTTAATTTCCAGGCTTATGACAGCCTAGAGTTCCTGAACTGACGTTTGTTCTCTAAGGGTTCCCTATTTAGGAATGTCCTGGAGCACTGGAAAGTGGCTTTCCGGAAGATTCTTTTCCACAACCACAGGAATAACGTTGGACTTTTATAACTCATATTTATTTGATAAAATATGCTGTCTTGATGTTAATCTCTGATAAGAGATTTTTAGGTTCCTTCATAAGAGCCCTGCAACTGTTCTGGTGAGAACCCCTTACTTCAAAATCATCCCTGAGTCACACAAACCACAGGACTTCCCCAGACATAGTTTAAAACCTCTGGACATCATCTGTAAGGTTGCTCTATCTCTTGAATCCTATGACTCTGCACATCAGAGAAGCATGAGTGCTGAACCCCAGGGTCCCATGGTTGACAGTTTATGCTGTTTACAGCATATGCAGAAACATTCTGGTGCCCCCTGGGGGGTACTGTAACATCTGGTAACCGTCATAATTCCTTCCATCCTATTTTCTTCCAGCAAGCAAAATTGTTTCCTCCTGTGATTCAGTCGCTGTTCAGTATTAAAGGAAGACACTCTCTGGGGTGGGAGACTGACAGACACTGCTATTACTGAGAAATTAGCGTTTTCTCTTTGTCCAGGGTGTAATATAGTCATGCAGAACAATCTGAGCCAGTGCTTAAGTTTGAAAAGGGAAGAAGGAGATCATTGTTCCAGATCTTTCAGGATGAATTTTATATATTCTGCTTTTTAGCTGTGATAAGCATAATTAGCTGTGATATATCCTCTCTTTACTTCTTCCTTATTCTTCAATAAAGAGTGGAAAAAGGGGAGGAAGTAACACTCAGAGATTGGCAGCTAGGAAGAGAAAGCAAAAGAAGCATGTTCTCTTTCTCTTTTACTCACACTTGAAATGCTAATTTGGATCATACAATACTCTATGTTATCTTCTGAACTGCTGCAAAAACAGTAAGGATCATATTGAATTCCCTGATCATTTTTCTCAGTTCAAATAATTGTTCTTGTCCTTCCATAGACTGACAGAGGAATTAGGGTCTCAGGTATTGTAAAAAGTATTTTTGAGTGAAACAGAAAGCTAAAACGTTACTTTTGCATGGCACTTCCGCCTCAGTGTTACGTGATGAAAAATCAGACCTAGTCCGCTTAGTGCAACCCTCTTCCTGGTATTTGTGCAAATTGAATTTATTTTATATAGACTAAAGGAGCCAGCTATTTAAAAAAAGTACCAGTGGCTTAGTTTAATTTTGTTAAGTAAAACTTATTTTGCAACACAAATAATTATCTCCTGGCTTGTCTTGTGAAAAAACGGTAAAAATCAAGCAGAGGTATGAGTTAGATGTGCGTAGTTGTACTGGTAACGTATGTTATAACCTACAAAACAAATTGATAACACAATACACATGAGCTAGTTCCACTTTGCCTGCCTCACAAACAGAATGACTTTTAGAAAGATAAGAATGCAACTGATATTCAATCTGTTATTGTCCTTTACCAGGACATCTTTTCCACCATTAAATTTTATCTCCTGATCTTAATTAGTTGTAATTAATTATTACTACTTAATACATTAGCTGTTTCAACTACATGGATATGTAAAATCAAGAAAATTATTTTTTATTATAAATCTTAGAACCCGCTCAAATTTGTGTATAACCTGAGACATAATTGGGCTGATAGAATAAAACAAAAATTTGGAGACTTGTAAATACTACTCCGATATTATTGTGTGGTCACCTGGTAGGTGTTAGCAGCTGCACCAAACGTTGTTTTGTAATTAAATTGGGCCCAGGGAATTAAAGTGGATTCATCGTGCAGACTGTACCTCTAGGCCTGGGCTGCAGCTATACGTTTTGTTTTATAATTAAAGTTCGACTAGGGACATGAAGCGTTAGAGCCTGTGAAATGAACAAATAATAAAAAGACTTTTTTGTTCCCACATTCCTCACAGATTTCACAACTCTATTAATGACCTCAAAACACTTAAAATCTCTATTTGTTTTCTGAAATATTCTTTGTCAAGGCTCCCAGTGATGATTAACATTTGCTGTTGCTGCTATTCGTTTTTCCATTTGCCTTCTAAGGAGGAGGTTCGTGGGAGGGTTGTGAGAGACCCCAGGAGGAGTTTTACATAGCTTCTGTGTCTGTCAGAGAAGGAGACGGGGTGAGGGGGTGGGGGGAAGAGGGTAACAGAGTTGTAAGACAAAAGAGAGCACAAAAGACAGTTAGACTCTCCAAAAAGAGATTAACATTTCAATGTAATAAAACAAATATTGCTCATTATTTAAAGATCATCGGAAACACAATTCCAGATGTCCGAACACAAATACAGGAACCTACTTCAAAATCTGTGGTTTGGGGAATCAGAGGATGTTACACTAGTAAAAAACTCAAAACCTGCCCTATTTTAATTTTTTGGATATTTGGATATGTTTCGTTTAAAGATGTAAATCTGGCAAGGCAAGAGTATTTTGTTACCTAAATTGGCTTGTTAGAAACTGAACAAAGCAAGGCTATTGGACTGGAGCAAGGGGAAAAAATATTGTCTTGTTCCTTACTTTTGTGAGTGTAAATCAGATATTGTTTCTGTAATTCCTTCTCCTCTGCAAAAAAAAAAAAAAAAAAAAAAAAAAAAAAAAAAAAGTTGCTGTCTGTATTTTCATATTGTATGTGCTAGTTCAGATATTGAGTATTGACACTTTTCCATGTGAATTTCAAAAACCAGTTACATTATTTTGGGTTTTTTGGCATTATTTTATGAAACAGTAAACCTCAGTGGTTTCACATGCCTGAAGTTCTGTGCTACCTTCCTTTTTTTCCCCCGACATTAGTATAAGTTAGCATATAACCAATGACATGGGCATAGACAGCTCAGTTTCCTACTTTACCCAGACTGTTAAGAAACCAAAACGTACTTTTATGGAAGCAAGTCATTGTCAGTCATCATTACCCAGCTATTAATGATACAGTATAAGAGTAATGAAAGGCACCGGTTAGGCCCATCCTTGCATATTGTGTCATTCTTGAATGGGAGTTAACTGTGCTATCCAAAGGCTCTCAGCACCCCGCCAACCTGGCTGGATTCTGGTAATGCTGAAGAAGACCTGTGACTAAGCACATGTGGAGATGAGCACTGAGGCAAGACCTAAAAGCAAGTTTTTCTGCCTCTGTTGGGAACATATGTGCATATCATCAAAAGTATCAAAAGAAGTGGATTTGAAAACACTTGGGGGAAGTTGACTGTGTTAGGCTATTTGTGCATTGCTATGAAGAAATACCTGAAGCTGAGTAGTTTATAAAGAAAAGAGGTTAAATTGGCTCACAGTCCTGCAGGCTGTACAGGAAGCATGGCATGTTAGGTGCTCGGCCTCTGGCGAGGCCTCAGGAAGCTTTTACTCATGGTGGAAGGGTAGATGGGAGCAGGCATCTCACATGGCAGAGTGGAGCAACGGAGGGTGTGAAGAGGGAGATGCCACACTTTTTTAAACAACCAGCTCTCATAAGAACGAACTCACTATCATAAATAAGATCAGCACCAAGGAGATGGTGCTAAACCATTCATAAGAAATCTACCCCTGTGATCCAGTCACCTCCCACCAGACCCCACCTCCAACAATGGGGATTACATTTCAATATGAGATTTAGTGGGGATATACATCCAAACTGTATCATTGACTTTAGTGTCCAGAGCACTGGCTTGCCATGTGACTGCTTAATCTTTCTGAACTTTTTACCACCAAAAAGAAGTGGAAACGGAAGACTTGACCACTCTTTCTTTCCCAAGTAGTTCATGTCAGACTTCTTTGTTTCCATGTAGTCAGCACTAGGAGGAATATGGGGGCATATCATTTCCATATGTTGAAGAAAATATAAGAATTTTGAAAATTTATACAACTAGAGAACAGGACTCATTGTGGAAAGAGATGGGGAAAGATAGTGCCCTGTTTTAAGTCCTATAGTACAATTTGTAGGTAGTGTATTAACTGTATAAATATGGAATTTTTGCCCAGACATGTATTTATTAAAAAGTAACAATTTGAAGAGGGAAAGAGGTAAGTGGGACAATTGTTAGAAGATTGGGAGAAAAGCATGCCAGGAATAGAAAAAGAGAAATTATAGTACTCATCGTTGAGACTAATATTTTGAATGATTCAGAATATTTATAGATTCTTCCAGAAGCATAGGTCAGGTCCAGGATTAAGATGCATGGAGCTTAAGGATGTGCTCCTGGTAGAAACCAGTAAGAAAAGGGGAAATAAAGAAGCAAAATAGAGAAAAGACAATGGGTCTTGGGTTTCTAAAACCATTCCCAGGTTTAGTGATTCGCTAGGAGGATTCACCTTACATTCGTACCTATCAGCATGACTTACCAAAATGATAGCATGCAAAACAAAATCAGGAAAAGGAAAAGGTACATGGGGCAAAGTCCAGAGAAAAGATGAGTCCCAGAAACTTCCAATTATCCACATTGGCCAGACAACCCTAATGTTGAGGGATAATCAGTCTGAGGTCA